CTCAGTGATGGGGCTTGAAATAGCTGGAAATAGCCCCCAGTGATGGGGGAGGGTCCCTACCACAGAACAAAGAACTCTGGAGGGGAGGCCCGTGGTGATCACTTGTCACATCATCCAATCAGGACATAATATAAAGCTCTGGTAGCGTAGTGGTTACGAATCGGGCTGCAAACTGCAAGGTCAGCCATTTGAAACTATCAGTTGTTCCACGGTAGTTTCAGGCTTTCCACAGCAGATGAGGCTTTCTGCTCCTGTAAAGATTTATAGCCTCAGAAACCCTGTACAGGGTCGCTATGAGTCAGAATCGACTCCATGGCACATAACCACCACCACCACCACCACCTGTGCTCCACAGATGAAGAGTCACTGTCTCAGATCTAGTCCCAGAAATGAGGAGTCCCAGGGACAGGTGCCTCACCAAAGAAAGCTCAGTGGTGGAGAGCGGCCGGAAAGGTGGACATGTGAGGTGTAATTGTGTGGCTTCTGTTCACTGAGTTCATCGTCTGAACACAGGAGACGGAGGAGAGTACTGTTTCTGTAGGTAAAGCTCCATGGAGCAGGAATCAGGTTTGGTTTGCTCAAAATCGCACCTTTGATTGTGGGCTCTTGTTATTATGTGCTACTGAGTCAGTGCAACTTACAGTGATCTCATAGGACAGAGGAGAACTGCCCTATAGGTTTTCCTAGGCTGTAAATCTTTAGGGGACCAGACGGCCAGGTCTTTTCTCCTTTGGAGTTACTTGCTGGTGGGTTTGAACTGCAGACTTTTAGTTCTGCCACCTGGGCTCCTTCGTGGTGTCTTAAGCATTCGATCAACATTGGAGAATTTATTATTGCTGATTAAACAAGATCATGCATGTAAAGCTCTTAACACAGCACCTGACCTATTACAAACATCCAATAAATATTACTATCGTGTTAGCTGGACAATGAATAAGGAACACCAATGAAGAATTGATGCTTTTGAATTATGGTGTTGGCAAAGAATATTAAATATACCATGGTCTGCCAGAAGAACAAACCAATCTGTCTTGGAAGAAGTACAGCCAGAGTGCTCCTTAAAGGGAAGCATGTCATCAGGAGGGATCAGTTCCTGGAGAAGAACATCATACTTGAGGGTCAACAAAAAAGAAGACCCTTGACGGGATTGATTGATTCATTGATAACAGCTGCAACAATGGGCTGAAGTGTAGGAACAATTGTGAGGATGACACAGAGTTTCATTCTGTTGTACACAGGGCTGGTACGAGTTGAAAGCAAAAGGATGGCACCTAACGACATTATTGACGACATATAACAATATTGGTGTGGGGAGAAGGAGCACAACACAGATTATCTAGATCAGGAAATTCTCAGGGAACACCAGAACAGGTTCGGTCTGAAACCCCAGAACATGAGAACCTTCAGAGAACGAGGTGCCTACTAGGGACATAGAGAACATCATCTGCTTGGGTCTAGCGCTTCTCTTTACTGTGCCCACCCTGACCTACCTCTCTGGGTATCTCTGGTTCCGTGGCTTGGATTTCCCACCAGAAAAAAAAAAAAAAAAAGTCACAGTCCTTTGCTGAACCATTTAACCAGACCTAATTAATCGATAAGCCAAGCTGCCGCTTTCCTGCCAACCAGCCGCCTGAAGAGTACTTAACTTTATCTGTGAATTGATTGCCATATTTTCACCACCACTACAGCTAATCCCCACCACCCACAGAGGCTGGATGCCAAGGGGAGCTGTGAGCTGTTGGGCAGGGACGGCCCTGCCACCTTGCCAGGAAGGCAAGAGCTCCAGGCAGCCCCGACTCACATGTTACATATGGGAAACTGAGGCCCAGAGAGGGGAAGATGAGGTGCAGGGCTTGAACCCTGGTCACCTGACACTAGCACCGTGATCTTTATTGGATGAGGGTGTCTCCTCTGGTCCTGTGGTCCTTCACGGATATGCTTGGCCTCACTCCTGTGTCTATGTCTCATTTCCTGCTAGGAGAAAGATGACTGTCACCCTGCTGGGACTAAAGGGGTCCCTTGGTGTAATGCAAATGGTCAAGCACTTGACTAGTAACTGAAAGGTTAGTGGTTCATACCTACCCAGAGACACCTCAGCGAACAGGGCTGGTGATCTGACAAGAAAACCTTATGGAGCAGTTAGTTTATTCTGACACGCAAGGTCACTGTGAGTCTGAATCAATTTGTAGTTAGACAACTAACTACAAGACCCTGACTGTTAGCATCCCAGATAAGACCCAGCATTTGGCCCAGGCATCGGGACACAGGCCTGAGCTGCCTAATAAAGCATACAGTGGGGCCCTTAACCAGAGTAGCAGAGTGGTGACGATGGAGCAACCCCAAGACAGGTCAGAAAACGAGCTACCACCCTGAGAAGGCCTGAAAAGCTTCCTCCCACCCCCAGAGCTGCTAAGCCAAGCAGGACTTCTGGGGGAGACTTGTACCAACCCTGACAGTTGTATCCTGAGAACCGACACCACTGAGATGGTCACACAGTGTGCACACATGGGTTAGAGAATAGGCACAGGAGCACCACCCCGACACCTAATTCCCATAACTGTGACTTCCAGAACATTCTAGAGTCTGAATATTAGAGGAGTTCCAATTAGGGGAGAGGTTAGAAAACATGGGAGGTAGGACAACAACCTTCTGCACGTGCACCTGCCGTACCCCATCTGCCAGTCCTGAAGTCTGCCCACCTTGAACCTGATTCCTACTTCACGATCCACTAACCTCTGCCTTGATCCAGCTGGAATCCACACACGTTATCAAAATCAAAGGCAATGCCAGCACAAGTACCAGACGGCCCCTGCCCAGCCCCCACACCAGGCATAGTCATGAGAACAGCTAGTGAGCGGTTTGTTATGCTTTCAGTTTTTTCCCCCATTCTGTAATTTTTTCTAAATACAAATGTGTTCCCAATGCACATACTATATAAGAAGTATATGCACAGGCATATTACATATTTTACAAAAGTAGGATTATGCTATGCACACTACATAGCAAATTGCTTTTTCACTGAGCAGTAATTATAAACTTGGGCAATATTTAGAGCCTGCTGTGGAAAGACGCCCAGGGTATGTTGGCCCAGCTGGGCTCTGACTGCAGCCCCTGCCCGCACCTGCCAAAGCCATGCGGCTGGCCCTGATTATGGAACAACCTCCCTGAGACTCAAATATGTCCCCCTCAGCCTGCCACAGCCCCCTGATTCCCTTCTTTTGACGAGTATTGATTGCATTCAACAAACTCCTATTTTGTTGTTGTGGTACAAATTTTATGTCAGGTGCCATTCCGAGTGCTTCACCACCTTTAACTCATTAACTCTCACCATAATCCAGTGATAATGATCAGTATCATTCCTAGTATACATTTGGGGAAACAGACCGGAAGCAGCAGTTGCCTGAGGCTCATAGTCAGGGGATGGCCGAGCCAGAAATCTAGCCTAGGCCTTCTGGTTCCAGAGTCCACACTCCCAACCATTACACCAGTGGGTCTCTGACCTGAGTATGCATCAGAATGTCCTGAAGGACTTGTGCTGACCCCATAGCTGGACCCCACCCCCTGGAGTTTATGATGCAGAAGGTCTAGTGTGGGGCTGGAGAATTTGCAATTCCAGCAAGCTTCCAGGTGATACTGATGACGCCTGTGTGGAACCATCTTTGCAGAACCCCTGTATCGTACTCTACTGTCCCCAAAGACTCTTTGCCTGGGGTTAGGGTTAGGGGTGCCTCCCTAACCCTCCCCTCTCAGTACAGACCAGTGGGGTGTTGTGTAGATGGCTCAGAGATAGTCTTGGCCCCCATAGACCAGGACATTGGCTTGTCAATAAATAAATGATCTGAAGCAGTGTGGAACCATTTAACCATCCATTATCTAAATGATTCTTGGGAGCCCAAGGCAGCTTTGATCTTCTGTGAGTTTTTTGCCTCCCCCAAAGTGCCCTCCAAACATATTCTTCTCCAAAGCAGGATAGTAAAGGATTAACTCAGCAATTCTGGTTGTCCACAACTTGCATATTACAAAGACAGGTTTAGTTTCCTCTTGGTTCCTAGAAGATGTCTCTAAGCACTTGGTATAGCCTGTCTGATAAGTGTGCTTGTGTATCTAAGGCCTTGGGTTGTGCCAGATAGTCTATGCTAACAGCTTGACTTATGGTGGGGGTCTTGGGCCATGCATTTACCGTTTGACCTCTGGGGGGTTGCTGTTGTAAGTGTTGTTGCTGTTGTAAGTGTTATTGAGTGGATTCCAACTCACAGCAGCCCTGTATAGGGTTTCTGAGGAGTGGCTGTGGATTTGAACCACCGACCTTATGGTTAGCAGTTCAGTGCTTATCTGACAGTGCCACACTGGGACTCTGAATATCTGGATAGTGGGAGGGCTGAAGACTAAGATCAGCCACATGGTGCTCAGCCAGGTTTATGTGACTGGTCTCTGGTAAAAACCCTGGACACCAAGGATTTGGGTGCACTTTCCTGGTGGGCAGTACTCCGTGCCGCACATCATGGCTGGGAGAAGTTAGCACTGTCCATGACTCCACTGGGTGAGGACAACAGGAATCTTGCTCTTGGTCTTTCCTGGACTCTGCTCTACTATATGCCTTTTTCCATTGCTGATTTTAATCTGTGTCCTTTCATTGTAATAAACTCTGAGTCTGTGACAAGTCCTTTTAGTAATTCATTGAACTTGAAGATGATCTTGGAGTTCTCTAAACACAAGAGGCCATCCACTGAGTCAATGGCCAATTACAGAACACCTCTACGCAGCAGCAGCAGGCTCTAACCCAAGTTCTGCCCACATTGCCAGCCCCACTCATCACCTGCAAGTCTCCCAGCTTCCCAATGTCTGGAGGTAGCTTTGGTGCCAGTGAGGACACTCATCATCAACATATTCTCCTCCTCCATAAACTTACTCTGTGTGGCCCTGGCCAGCAAAGGCAGCCCTTCTGCCCACCAGGTAACATCCTGGGCTCTGTCTCCAATTCACCACCCCCCAGGCCTTACCTGCCAATGACCTCAATGTTGGAGATGGCATAGAAGTACTTGTAGAGGTTCTCCCGTTGCACGTAGGTGCCGCCCAGCGCTGGGCGCAGCAGCCTCATGCGCAGGTCTGTGAAGGTGAAGAACTCCTTGAGGCCCTTGGCACTTTCCAGCCGAGTGTAGAGGTTGTTCATGTTGCGCAGGTCAGGGCCGGCAAAGATGGCAAAGCGGTCCCGAACCTCAAAGCGGACGTGCTTCTCCTTCTTGGAGCCCGCCCAGCGTGAGTACTCCTCGGTACAAAGCACCCGGTGGGCGCTAGAGGATGACAGGTCCCGGGCCCTGCGGGCAGGCATGTGGAAGGCCTCCATGCAATCCTCAGCGTAGAACTGGTAGGGCTGCCACGTGCGCCCATTGTCCAAGGACTTCTCAAGGACCATGACGGTGGGCCGGCCATACTCGAAGGTCACCACCACATCATCGGTCACCTCCACGCTCTTGTTCCAGGAAAGAGTGATGTTGGCTTCCAGTGGGCTTGGGTAGCGGCTCCACGTGACACTCTGCCAGTACGTCGTCAGCCCTTCGTCCTCCTTGTCGAACATGAGCAGGGGTGGGTGGGCCAGGTCCGGGTTGGAGGCATCGCACTCATTGCTGCACAGGTATGGGTTCTCCTGCAGTAGGGAGAAGAGAAGGGGAAGGTGGGAGGTGGCTGCACAGGTGGACTGGGAGGCCTCTGTCTGCTGCTCCCTGCCCACATGCCCAGACACTGGCCCAGGGGGTACAAAGCCTGTGTCCTGATGGCTGGACATCAAAAAGTCTCCCAGGTGGGTAATTTGTACCCATTTCCCCATTTTTCCTCAAAGCACAAAAACATGTGCAACTCTATGGTGTCCCAAGAAAGGATATACATCCTTTTTCTGAGTTCATGGATGGCACAGTTAATGTATTTGGCTGCTAACAAGAAGGTTGGAGATTCAAGTTCATTTCAAAGCAATGGCCCAGTGATATAAGTTCTGAATAATCATCTGCTGAAAACCACTGTAGCACAGTTCTACTTTGACACTCATGGGGTCTCCTTGAGTTGAAACGAATTTAAAGGCAACTGGTTAGGTTTAAACACAAAGTCCCTCATGGCTTCCAATTGCCTGTAGGATAAAGTCCGACCTCTTCAACAGTTGACCCCTTCCCTCCCACCTAATCTGGGCACATCTGAGCCATTCTGATACTCCAAGCACTGCTTGTCCTACCTCTGAGCCTTTGCAATGCCCTTCCCTCTCAATTGGCCCTTCACTCCTTAAACAGCTTCTAAACAGAAATGTCTTCCCTTTGAAGACGAGCAGTAGCAGCAGCTACAATAGCACTGGTGGTCAAAGCCAAAGTCTCGGCTGCCATTTGTCCGACTGCTACCTGATGCTAGGCATGTGCTAAGGACTTCAGGATCTCAGTTCTCTCATTTATAATATCCCTTCAATCTCAAAGCAGGCACATTGTCTCCATGTTCAAGATGAAGAAACCCAGCCCAGGAAGATGGAGTCCCTTGTTCAAAGTCCTAACTGGGAAGAGAAGAGCATCCTGTCTGATGGTCATGGTTTTCTCTGACCCTGAAGCAAGCATGTGTGTCCACCTTGGTTGTAGCCCTGAGCACATGGGAAGAATACAGTTTCAGGTTGGCTCCCTCCCAAGGGATATATCTTTGTGGCAAGTCACTTCCGGACCCTGGTGTGTGCCTGGCAGATACCTTTTAAGGAACACTGACTGAGGACTGCAGGGACCATCCCTTCAATTGCTTACTCTCCTCCCACCTTGTCTCTGACACAGGTATGTCCACGTTCCTACTCTCCCCTCCTACACTAAGACCCCCGCCACCAAGGCTAGGCATCCAACTCCCTCTACCCAGCAGGTACCAGGTATGGTTTTCCCTCCCTGGAGACTCAAACCCATTTCCCTGCATTTGGTCCACTGTGGAAACTCACACAGGAGGCCTGAAATGTCACTAATAACCATGCTGAGTCCTCGACTACTCACAACCCTTTTTGATGAATATTTCAGGTCTCTGGTTTGTTCAGAGACAAAACGGCTTGGATCTGTGAAAAAACCTCTCACTCTGAAATCAACCATTTGGCTTCCCCGAGGGAAGTGGGCTCATCCCTTTCTGAGGGGCGGCACTGATGCCCCTTCAGCCCTCCCTGCATGATACTGCAGCCCAGCCTTAGGCCACTGGCTTTTATCTGCTACAATGAAGGACAAGCTCCCAGGCCACCAGGGCTCTTTGGTGGTCAGGGCTGGTTCCACAAAGCCCTCCTTAACCAAAATAGTTCTGTCTTCCGTCCTCTGCGATGCCCTTCTCCACCCCATCCTGTCTGGTCCTAGCTGGATCTGGAGACCCACAAACCTCTGGGGGGAAGAGGCACCATTGAGTCATTGTACAAATGTGGAAACTGAAGCCTAAGGCCTCCTTGTGTGTGTTGCAGGGGTGGGGGTGGGGAGTTGTGCATTTCTCAGGATGAGCCTGCTGTGGGGTGCGGGTCTCAAAATGCTTGTGTGTTCATAGTAATCACGGTTGGGAAGGGGGGTTGCTCTGAGCTTTCTCATGCCTAGCTGGGTCACCTAGACAAGTCTCCCTGAATGAGAGGGGCTGAGATGCCTCGAGGAGATACCTCAATGGCCCACAGAGGTAAGGCCTGGAGATAAGAGGGAAGCAGAGAGATGAGGCCTGAGGAGGCAGGCCTGACCTGTGAGGATGAGTTTCCTCCCTAGTCACATCCCTCCCCTGCTGGCGCACAGCAGCAGAGGGTGCTCTGAGCCCACAGGTAGAATGGGCTCTACTTGTGCCATCTGAGGACAAGAAGCACTGGCCCTAAGAGTTCATACCTGAATGATGAGAGACGGGAAGACACTGTTTGCAATCAGGCCCAGCGTCTTTCCTCTTTCCCCAGCCCAGAAATTGTCCTCATCCCACAATCCCAGTTGTGTCGTCTCTTACTGTTCCTGGAGCCTCATGCCAGGTTGGAGGAACGGCTCTGAGGGGTGAGGCTGAATTGTGAGTATTGAGCAATAGCCTCCAGAGGCTGTCTCTGGAACCTTCTCCATTAGCCTGGCTTCTCAGTACACTAGCACCAGGTGGCTTCACATTGTCCCATCCACCTGGAAAGCACTTTATTAACCTAGCCATTGAAGGCTGTGCCTTTGCCCAGGCTGCCTCATTCACCCTTGTCCTGGATCGGCAGCCACTCTTTTTTTTTTTTTTTTGGAATGCCTCCCACACATTTCCTCCAAAACGCCTTCCCTGTCTGGCTCAGTCTCTGAACCCCGTCTCCTCATTACCCATCATGGGGGTGTTGGTGTGCTTATCTGGGACGGCATAGTGAAGCCTCCATATAGGGCCTAGACCACAGTAACTGCTTACCAAATTCTAACTGTGTTTATTATCTTCTATTACACCTGGTGTGGCACTGTAGGATCAGCGCTGGACTGAGCACCACAAGGTCAGCTGTTCAAACCTATCAGCTGCTCCTCAGAAATTTTATACAGGGTCGCTATGAGTCAGAACCGACTTGATAGTACTTACCAGCAACACCAACAATTTTGTTCTAATAGTAAATATGTTCATTTTAACATGTTGTTGTTGTTACTAGGAATTACTTAATTCTAATAATAAGTACAAGGAGCTCTGGTAGCGTAGTGGTTACGAATCGGGCTGCGAACCTAAAGGTCAGCGGTTCGAAACTACCAGCCGCTCCGTGTGAGAAAGATGAGGCTTTCTACTCCTGTAAGGATTTATACTCTCAGAAACCCTGTACAGGGTCGCTATGGGTCGGAACCGACTCGACGGCACTTAACAACAACAACAACAACAATAATAAGTACATTGATTTTCATACATTGTTGTTGTTGTTATTAAGTGCTATCAAGTTGGCTCCAACCCACAGTGACCCTGTATAGGGTTTCCGAGGAGTAGCTGGTAAGCTTGAACCACCAACCTTGGAGTTCAAACCAACTTTGAAGTCTGGTGCATTAACCCACAGAGCTACACCAGGATTCCATTGTTGCTGTTAAGAATTACTTAATTCTAAAAATAAGTACATTAACTTTAATATGTTGTTGTTAAGTGCCATCTAGTTGGTTCTGACTAACAGTGACTCTGCATAGGATTTCCAAGGAGGAGCTGGTGGCTTTGAACTGCCGAACTTGTGGTTCAAAGTCCAGTGCTGATCCTATAGTGACACACCACCGTGAATATTATTCCTATTAGCTGCCCATACCTCACTTTTCGCTGGTTCCTCTTTGTACTCCTTCCTTACCTTCTTCTCCCACCCTGCCTGGGCCTCCTTGTCCCCACTGGGTGTCTGGGAGGCCAGGATCTTCATAGGATCCTTCAGAACTCCCAGCTGCGCCCAGCCTGTCTGTCATCTGAAGACTGACATGGCTCTGCCAGGGGCTGGGGGCCCCAACCTGACTGCCAATGCCTGACTGCCCTAACCTGCAGGGCCTGCTTGGCCCCCCGCCCCCAGCTCGGGAAGCAGATGGTCAGAAGCTAATGAATCAGCCTGTGTATTTACCAGGCCCGCGCCTGCTGCGGAGCGGGCTTAATCAACAGCGAGTACAATAAATAAATCCCAAGCCGACGCCAACACAATTCTCTCTCTCTCTGCTTTCCCTCTCCTATTTCTCCTTCCCTCCCACCCCAGGATCTCTGAATTCATTTAACCATTTAGATGTTGCAGGATTACTGTGTCTCCTTACTGAAGTCTATGCTGAACTGACCGTCCTTTCCAAACACATCAGTGATTCGGTCGGTCTCACTTTCTTTCTGCTCTTCACTAGTGAGAATTGCAAGTATGCAGCCTGGGATGAGGAGTGCAGTTTACCACAATATCCCACCATCCTGAGCGCTGCATCTGACAGCTGATTCCCAGGTGGGTGAAAGATGGGGCTTGTCTCCCGGAGGGGAGGGCGGGCGGATGCTAGCCTTCCTGGTCTGCATAGTCCCACTCATCTCCACAGGATCAGATGAACTAATAATGAAAACAACAGTTAAAACGAAGTGGCCTAGCACTGAGAAGAGAAAGCCAGGGATGTCGAAGGCACACCCCTAACCTTTTAGAATGGTTCTGAACCTGAAATAATATGAACCTGACCTTTGATATTATCAAAAGCAGAACTTGTTTCTTGAAATATTTCATGGATTAAAAAAACCAAAACCATATCCCTGATAAAAGCCTTGGACCTTTCTCCAGAAAAAGTGCTATAGCATGCTAAATTTTCCACACAAATTCCATCCTAGATCATCAGCTCAGAGTAATGGAGCAATTAGAGGAATTAGCTTTGGAGTCCAAAAGTTTTGGGGTTCAATCTCAGCTCCATCCCTTGAGGCTGTGTGACCTTAACAATGTTGTTGAACTTCTCTGAGTCTCTGTTATCTTATCCAGCATTATGTGAAACGTGTATGAAATTTCTAACAAATGTCCCCACATGGAACTGTAACAATTACTATTAAACAGTAGGAATCTCTGGGTGGTGCACATGGTTAAGTGCTCAACTATTAACTGAAAGGTTGGTGGTTCGAACCTACCCAGAGGTACTTCGGAAGAAAGGTGTAGAAATCAACTTCTAAAACGTTCCAGTCATGAAAACCCTATGGAGCGAACTGCACACACAGGGTCACTATGAG